TAATTACAATGTAGTTAAGTTAATACAATGGTGGGGGCATGGTGGGGACAGAACGTGGGGGAAAATTGAGAACTACGTGATGATGATGATGATGGTGGTGGTGGTGGCGATGATGATGATGATGATGAAGATGATGATGATGATGATGATGATGATGATGATGATGATGATGATGATGATGATGATGGTGGTGGTGGTGGTGGTGGTGGTGGTGGTGGTGGCGATGATGATGATGATGATGATGATGATGTATTATCCATGACGTTTGACCATGTGACCGCCCTCTGATAGCTTTAATGGTGAATTAGATTTTAGCTTTTATGTAAATTTTGACACTTCCTCCATCTTAAAATCTCTTTGTTGCTGTGAACAATATAGTTAGTGTGTTTGTATACAAACACACATACTACAATACCCATGTTTACAGCTGACTATTACGTTGTGTAAGTACCGTTGTATAATATTTGGTGTCAATATCGGAGTTAACTAGCCATTAACCTTCATAGCCCTACCTTACCCTTCCAGCCAAAATAAACTCGTCGTATTGGTTATATGAGCTAGTCTATTTATGTTTAATCGGGTGGAAGTCCTTTTGGTTATTACCGCCCTTGAATTTTCACTTCTACTTGACTATGTTGTGTTTAAGTCACCTTACATTTATGACTTAATATTGCGTGATCTCGTGTAGACGTTACATTTTCCGTCCCACTATAACGCCATTGAAGTGTTCATTACGTCATGTCTGTTTAAGGTGTTGCGTTCAGAGGTCTAGTTTGTCCTTTGTATACAGAGTAACTTTCTTCGTAGCTCACTAGAGCTGAACAAGTCAACATACAGCATTGTTGTGGCTCAAGTACGGGTAATTCTCGCTGAAGTGTTACACCATTGCAATGTTAGTTATTCATTTCATATATTTCTGTCTAAAACAGAAATGTCACAGGATATTCAATTTAAAGTTTGAAAAAATATATTTCTTGTTCGTCTCTAAATAACCTACTGCTTCGCGTCAGATTTGGTTGGTGGTTCAATCGATTCCGATATAATTATGATGAAGGTAACTTACAATGTGATGTTCTAAACACATAGTCTATATGAGTAAGGGGTCTGTTTAGGAGGCTAATACAATACTTTGATATTCGTTAACCATTACAACCCTCTGTGGTGTACTATTTTAGTCAACAAACGTATATCAGGACTGATACAACTCAGTAACGACAACGATAGAACAGATGTAGTTGAAGCAATGAAATTGTAATCCGGATATCCAGCTACATTCCGGACCTGTTCAGTAACATGTATAATCATGCAATACCTAAATCCGGATCTTTTTCCGCATTCAATGTGCTGTTTTATTTTTAGCCTTGTGTGATTTACATATTATTGCTAATCAAATGCATAACAAGATATTCACGTACTCTGACCATATTAATAGCAATTAATGGAAATTACAGTTTATTTCACTGTTTAGTGAGATATTATACTTTCCAAAATTATCCATGGTAGTACAGTATCATTTTATCTTCTGGCCAGTCAGTGTCGGGTGCTTCAAAATTTCCAGATTTTATCACAAACGAAAACAACCTGCAGGTATAATTTTACTGTCTAGTTCATTTCGAGTTGTTTAGACTTTTCATTTCGGACAGATCAGTATTTAGAGACTGTCCGGGTGTTGTATCGAGGTGTTTTGCCACAACTATCTAGTCTCGCGTTTTATATTAGAACCCATATCACCGTAGGAACATAAACAATATATAATACCGATAACCTCTTACCTTCTGGTCAGTCGTGGTCCAACTCTTTGTCCATCCGAGGTCATCAATCACTCCTATCTGATCAAGTCCAGTCCGTTCCTAGCCGTGAGTTGGTCCGTTGATTGTGTTTCGGATTTTCTCTTTGATAAACGCTGTCATGTTTAGACAACGTTTTCAGTATAGTACATAAAGGGGAGGCATATTGTAGAGACATCTGAGGGACGTAGGTATTCGATGCGAGTTCGTTCCATTGCTAAAATGATCATGTTTTCGAGAGAAAGTAAAAACGGGGAAGAGACTGATTATTCCTGCAATATTCAGTAAGAAGGATTTCCATAATTTCTATAAAAATAAATATAATCTGGCCTTACACCCCTACCTAATCCATTACCCTAATCCTTCAAAATATTTCGGAAAGGTACTCATCCCCCATAAACCTAAGGTAGACCTTCGAGCTGAGGCTAGCTTTTGAGGACAGGTCGTTCAGGCAGTACTTTCCATGATAAAAACATACACATGTTGAAATAGTGTTATGCAGCTATGAAACGAATAATAGAACATACATGCGAATGACCCTGCATCTAAAAATCCCATTACCTGCTCTAATCCCACTATTGACTCCAGCCGCGGTCCACTGGTCAGAAAATTGTGTCGTATTGTGTATTCGGTACGTCATGGTGTTCCGGTCTTGCCTTTAAACCTTCCTGACATAAATTGTACAGGTTTACGATCGATGATATTGAGCTGTTACAAATGGTTATCGATTCCAGGCGTCACATGCGCGTCATAACTTGCATTCGCATAGAAAAATAAATCTTGATCGTCATTTATTACTGCGCTTCGTCGTCCAGTTGATAGTCCGAAAACAGTAAATTTTACCACATGATAATTTTATCAATTGTACACCATGATATTATCAAAGTGTGTATATCGGTATGAACTTCATGTATTGGGGAATTTTATTTCTACTACACTCCAAAAATTGCACAGAGGAAAAGTTATAGCGGTTTTTTTTTCGGATCAAAGACGTTAAAACATCACAGTGTACAATCCAAGACAAAGCAGTTGAGTCTCAGTCCATGTAAAGTCTAACACAGAAACTGCCCTAGTGATATTTACAAATAATAAGCTATTTTTAATTTCGAAAACCAATGTTTCCAGACTACAAAGTTTCTTTGGTAATGGGCAGCAATGAAAATCGTTCGAATCTCCTAATAATTGAATAAGTCAATTAATTAAATTAATAAGCTTTAACTCGATCACGTGTAACCTGTAACCACACTGCGTGCTGAAGGCCGTGTCATATATGTACGTCCCTAAATTTATAAGAAACTTCCTGGTGAGCACTTCATTCCGTGACAAACATATTTTAATACCGAGGTGAGACCTTTTTCTATAGACCTTGAAATATGATAACATTTACAAATGAACCACACGTAATAAGATATGAAATATGACGAGTTTGCAGTAAACTCGTATATCAAATTCGTGTCCTTATACTTAATTACCATAACCCATTTTAAAAGCGACCCAAGAGACTAGACTGGCTACACAGACCAAAATTTCTCTCATCAGAAAACACAGACCAGAAAATCCCTCGATAGACCACACAGACCAGAGAATCCTTCGATAGACCACACAGACCCGAGAATCTCCATATAAACCACACAGACCCGGGAATCCCTCGATGGACCACACAGACCCGGGAATCCCTCGAAAGACCACACAGACCCGAGAATCCCTCATAAGACCACACAGACCCGAGAATCCCTCATAAGACCACACAGACCCGAGAATCCCTCGATAGACCCCACAGACCCGAGAATATTTCGACAGTCTACAACAAAGTTTGTGATTAGGTAGACAGAAAAGGTCAGAGAAAACCAATATCAGGAAAGTTAGGCGGCCATGATTAAAACAGTGGTTACGCGTCATTTCAAGAGCTGACCTAATTTATTTATAATTTGATAGACTAGCCTGTCAAACTGCCGCATAAATTCTTAATCAAAACAGCTTAATTACAGTTTGAAATTGTTGTATAACATAACAAATGCATTCTGCCATCAATCTGAATTGTAGATTCGATTTAACACGATCTGAAGTTTGTATAATCTATATGTATATTAGAATCCGCTAAACTATGGAAAGAATCTTTAATTTTATTTATCATTTCAATGGTTTCTCGTGGTTTGAATTTCTTGGTTAATCCGGGCAGTTCTCAATTAACTGCAATCGGTAAATCAATACAATCTGAATGTTATATCCTTGAAAATGGTTTTCTAAAAAAACGTTAACGAGTCAATATTCAGCTTTAAAGGTCTCGGCAAAATACCTACCATTAACAAGACTCGCACCCTATCGGGTTATTATGTCGAGAGTTATTATAGATAATTTACTTCAACATTATAGACGAGATGACTTTACAAATTTTTTATCGATTGTCTGTAAATCACACCGGTGCAATCAGAGGTAAATAATTCATAATTAGATCAATCAACGTATTGAATAACTTTCATTTCATTGTCCTCATTCACGTTATAAAAAGTATTCGTATTATTTATATGTGTTTCAATAATTCAAAAAAGCTGCATCTGTATGCATTGAAAATCGAAACCTGAAAGCACGGTGTACTTACAGACGAGCGGATGTAAAGCTAAAAAGGTTTGTGTAAATTTACAATCAATAGACAAACAAATAATAAAACAATACCATGTTATCAAAGTGACCACGTGATTCCCGATATATCTGAATGTCATTAATCTATTCACCGATAAATTGAAATTATTTAAGTAAACGAGGCTTATCAATGACTTAAAAAGACGTATAACAGGTGTCCCGGTACATCTCATTGACCTGACATGATGTATCATTTGAGTACAGTACATTGTACACAATACAAGGGGTCACGTACCCTTCACATCCTTAGCGAGATGTAAGGGAGCGGAACTCGTAATTGATTACATAAAGACAAACATGATGTTTAAATTTTCTTTTTCATTTTTAATGAATCACAGCGACAGCCATTTATAACAAGTTACTGGTTATAAATATAATATCTATCAACAATCAATCTAAGATTTGTTTAAATGCATACATCCATATTACCCATTTCCTGAATATCAGTCACACTTCCGGTACATCTCTACAGATTTCGTTCGCTCTTTCACACATGTTTACTAGTCCCAAATAGGATCAAACTTTGGTTGTCCCCGACAGAGGCATCGGTTATCTGCCTCTGGCGAATAAATGCTATAGATAGAATGTTTGCATGGATTGACGGTTGCCAGACGAACCAGTCCGAGAACTAGTACTCCGATCGTCCATAGGAACTTTTGACTGACTCCCTGCCGAGGAGTCACGACTGTTTTTCCTGTTAATTTTTGGATCACTCACTAATTTTTGCAACTCCCCTCGACTTGAGCCACTGGACGAGTCCTGAATCTGTTGATTACACTGGATACGAATCATCGGTGAAGACTCTGCCCGGTGATACCGGCGGGGAGGAAGGGGAGGGGGGTCGGCCTTCTGGGCCGAGGGAAGCTGTCCAGCGCTTTGAGAGGACGCCATTACTGCACCTACTGAATGTCTGTGTTGACCAGCACGGTTGTGGACGGGCGAGTTTTCGTCTCCAATATTAAAAGCGGAAGTGGGACGATAGTACTTACTGTTTTTGTACGCTTGTTGGCCCCTTTCAAGCATAGCCAGTCGAGCACGGAAATCGTCCAGAGGTTCATATGCAGGCTCCTCAAAATAACTTTCCTCGTCAGAATCATATCCGTATTTTTGTTTTGGAGGGAGCCTTCCATCCCTAATGTACTGATACAGATCGTCCATCTCGTCCATAAGGACATCCTCGCGACTCTTCGAACGTTTCACGAGTGATTTGGCATTGTTTTTTCTGTTAATGGTGTTGTTTTGTTGTGTGAGAGAGTTGAGATCTTGGGTCTTCTTCCGTTTGACAGAGTCAGGTACAGCTACAATCAAGTGTATCGTGTTGTTGTAATTTGCAATCATTTTGTTACACTTTGTCATCATGTCCTTGAAAGACTGACTCTCCTTAATTTCTTCCATGTTTTGGACTGAGTTGAGTTTGAGGGGAACCTCTGTAGGTACCGGAGTGATTCGTATATTGTGTTTATCTAAAGGACACAGGAATGCCGTTTCGTCGGTATAAGCCCAATTCAGTCTCATGTACCCTGTGAACTTTGACGTGTCCACTTTCGGCCACACGCCCATGACAAGTTTCACTGTTAATGGAAGACGGAACATTTTAACGATGTCTTTGAACATGAACACACCTGACACATCACCGGGGTTGGCTATTGGTGTAAAAGTCCCTTGTTGGTCAAAACTAAGGTACAGAACTACGCCCTTTGAGTCCGTACACCGGAGAAACTTTGTCCGATCTCCTGGGCCGTTGACTGTTCCCGAGAGAGAGAGTTGTTCACCAGCTGGAATCACTTTAGATTTATCGAAAGTTAATTTACCATCTTCATTAGTCATATAACCTTTAAGATTTTGTCTGACTAAACACTTACTTGGAAACTCCCTGGCTAGTCTATAAACACTGTCTATTGGCCTCGCGGACCGTCCGTCCTCGGACAGCAGCTCGAACCATCCGTTGTAGGTGATGGGGATGCTGAGTCGTTGGTCAAGGGGTACAACCTTACTCGTTCTGCCGTCTCGAGCCTCGAAGCGAGTCAGACTATGCGCTAGCACTTTCACGCCTGTCTTTATAGAATGAACAACAACCTCCTGGTGAAATTTTCTCAGTGGTATTTTAGATACGCCTAAATTGTGGAATTGTCCCTTTGTAATTTTCGCTACCACCGGTACATCACACTGCATAAGTACATCCTTGAGAGGAACTTGGGTGGAGTCCCAAACAGGGGCCGGGAACCCCGCCATGTCCGTCGCCGTAGCCATCTCCAGCGTACTCTGGTAGATCGATTTGTCCACCTCGTACGTGTTGCCGTGTCTATACTTAGACGTTTTCAGTTTACCTGTATGCATGGCGCTGTCAGTCAGTGTGTTTACGTGTCGGTGTACTGCCCAGATATTTGCATACCTGTTGGACGGGTTTGTGTCAGACAGCGTGTGGTAATAGAACTAAGAACGGGACTTTGGCTTTAAGGCTTTTATAGTGAGCCGACATTGGTTCCCTCAACCGTATCGTGTAAACTTACGTATATGAGTCATTGTGTATTGTAACGCCTCTGTAAATGTTTGAAAACGTGTGGGGTGTATTTTATTCCTTACATTGAGTCAGGTAATTGGACAAATTAGGGCACATATGACAATAATAGTTTGCGCCACGCGGTTTTTCCTGAAGAATTAAGCTCTTACAAATGGTTGAAGTTACGATGTGGTTTGTCGATCGTTGTAATATTTCAGTCTAATACCATAATATAACGAGTTTTTTTATTTTGCTTATTGTTTGTGGCCCACCCCATTGTGTAATTTGATGTGTATATCTTATCATAAATCAAAACATTGTCGTCTTCATGTCTAAAAATATCACCCGAGTCTGGTGAAGAGTATAAAGGGCCATATACAAGAAAAACTATCATTGAATTTTATTAAATAAAGACAAGTGATATGACGACACACTGAGAAATCGTAATCATAGACACTATAGAACCATACAGATACATAATATTGATACATGCTACGATAAATTAGAAAATCTGTTACCACATACATAGATAACACGTGTTATATACGTATCTAATGTTACTCAGCGCATTGAAAACAAACTTTGCTTTTCTCCCTGTAAATGTCAGTTGATGCCTTTTCTGTTTTTCTCATAAAACAAACAAAACACAGCGACTTAAAGCGTAAACATGTTTTAGCTTGCGTAGTATTAATCCGTAAGTACGGGACATCTACTAATTGATGATTAGAATTTACTAATTAGTTCTTTATAACTGTCGTTTGTACAGTCTGGCCTTTACCACGTGATCTGGTGTCCTACACTGACCTACTTTATTATCGAATTAGCATGACTGTTCAACATTGTTCTACTGAACCATGTCATGGTGATCTGTTAGGACCTATATCTGCTCAAGCCTGCATGAGTTCTGACCTTTGTGATCCGACCTGTGGTAGCTCGAACCTCTGTATTAACTCAAATCTACACGCGTTTTGACCTTTGTGATCCGACCTGTAGTAGCTCGAGCTTCTTTATTGACTCAAATCTACATGAGTTCTGACCTTTGTGATACGACCTGTAGTATCTCCAGCCCCTGTACTGACTCAAATCTACACACGTACTGACCTTTGTGTGTTCGGACCTTCAATGTTTATGTGATATGACTTGTAATTTTGAACTTTCATGAGTTATGATCTATGAGTTTCGACCTATATCAGTTATTTCTGACCTATGACCATGACCTGTGGCCCATGACCTATTGAACTTGGATGAATTATGACAGGCTATGCAAGCTATGACCTACGAGTGAAGAATTATATTAGTTTTGATGTGTAGTTGGAGTCTGTGAAGGGTTTTACTGACTATTGATATAATTTGAGATGGAAGCTCTATAAAAATATATGTAAAGACATTACATAGTGAGTGAAAAAGAAAATATATCATGATACAACATACAAGTTAGATTTTCAAAACGTTATTTTAAAACAGTTGATACATCGCATATACAATTTTACAGAAATTAAGCAATTCGTTTTTTAACTTAAAAGGAAGATGTCCCACGTTCTAAGTGCAAATCGCCAGAGGGGAGAGATTTGGTCGTAAAACTTTGTGACAGTCTGACCTCACACCTCCACAAAGATCGATCAGTGGCTCGCGTGATGTTATAACGGCCCGGGGGGAAGGGGTATATCGTCAACGAACGTCTTTATATCTAGAATCTGGATCTGAGATACGACCAAGATGGTTTCCATATCGTGTTTTCCGTGTTATTGTTGTTTTTTAATCCTGTTGGAGCCCGAAGTGATACATGATTTGGTTAATATGTTACAAATCATTGTTGTCTCGGGAAGGTGACACTGTTCTTCCTGTTCAAATCACGTGTTCTCCGGACCGCCATTTACTTATAGGTAAAGTTAAAGAGGGGTTTGAAATAATATATGTATACAAATTTATCATCGACCGCCAGTGGTGATATAAGAGAGTTTTCTCATTTACAATAGCAGCTGTAAAACAACTCATAAAAGCAATGAACACTTCGTTTATTTTGCCAAACAGCTAAAATTGATTTTGTAATTTGTTTCCAGGCGTGTTTCTATCTAAAAGTGCTCTCGGATTTGTCGATATACTCAAAACTTCGATACCGAGATCGTTGATGTCCATTTGTGACCAGCACGTATTGTTTGTTACGGTTAAAACGACCATTCGTCGGTATTCTGAACGGTTCGATGTTAGGACTGTAAAGATAAAGTGTTTTGGTGTGATAAATTACTCTCGCTTTGTCGTATGGTGTTTTGGATACCAAACGGGTTCAACAGAGAACCGCGCAATATTCTGATATATGTACAGTACAGTAAAATCTTTGAATGCATACACTATGGTTCATTACGTGCCTGGACACATAACCTGTCTAGAGCATGTCAGGGTCCTACAACCGCGTGCGAAACTGCCAAGGCACAACATGTGGTCTTAATACTGTAAGGGTCCCAGTAAAACAAGTGTGACCACAACGTCCTATCAACAGTCACGAGAATGCAAGAACTGATGGACTGTCTCTAGAGATTGAAGATTTTTACAAATGTAAAAAAGTGCAAGATCCTATAATTGATTCTACAGACAGTAGCAAGATTGAAAAGGTATCGGCCTGTAAGGATCGCTTAAGCGGCCTCGTGTCTGCAAGGGCACCACAGGCGACCGCGAGTCTGCAAGGGCACCACAAGCGATCGCGGGTCTACAAGGGCACCACAAGCGATCACGAGTCTGCAAGGGCACTACAGGCGATCGCGAGTCTGCAAGGGCACTACAGGCGATCGCGAGTCTGCAAGGGCACCACAAGCGATCACGAGTCTGCAAGGGTACCACAGGCGATCGCAAGTCTGCAAGGGCACCACAGGCGACCGCGAGTCTGCAAGGGCACCACAAGCGATCGCGGGTCTGCAAGGGCACCACAAGCGATCACGAGTCTGCAAGGGCACTACAGGCGATCGCGAGTCTGCAAGGGCACTACAGGCGATCGCGAGTCTGCAAGGGCACCACAAGCGATCACGAGTCTGCAAGGGTACCACAGGCGATCGCAAGTCTGCAAGGGCACTACAGGCGATCGCGAGTCTGCAAGGGCACCACAAGCAGCCGCGAGTCTGCAAGGGCACCACAGGCGATCGCGAGTCTGCAAGGGCACCACAAGCGGCCGCGAGTCTGAAAGGGCACCACAGGCGATCGCGAGTCTGGAAGGGCGCCACAAGCGGCCGCGTGTCTGCAAGGGCACCACAGGCGATCGCGAGTCTGGAAGGGCGCCACAGGCGATCGCGAGTCTGGAAGGGCGCCACAAGCGGCCGCGAGTCTGCAAGGGCACCGCCACAAGCGGCCGCGAGTCTGCAAGGGCACCGCAAACAACCAAGACTACAGGGGTGCCAATCCGCATGAGTACTACATAAGTTGCCTTATATAATGCGAATGAACATGGACATATTGTTAGTGTATTACAATACTACAAAGAGTAAGGAATGTAGTAAGATTGTTATCACATATAATGTACAGGTAACTGTATTGTTGATATGTAATAATTATCATATCTCATGTACAATTAATAATTAAGTAATGAATGTAGATATCGTTTATTATGGTCAAATTCTCCATCCTACGTAACGTTACGCCTCGTATTGTCCGAAGTGGTCAGTCCGGAGGCCCTGTCTGACTGGACATTATTCTTAGGTATTGGAAAGTCCCTTGCTGATCTAAATGTGATAATTCAAATACTTGCTTTCATTCGGTATTGATAAAGATCATTAACGCGCCGCCTTCGTCTGTAGACTGTTTATACAGGGCTACAGGGTCTGACGCTCTCCCAGCAACAAATCATACATATTTAATACGACATCTATGAGACGAGGTTACGTGACTCCCTACGGAAAACAAACCATCAAACATTACGGTTTAGTGTCTCTGGTATATAATCACGACAAGGATTACAATTACAGACAATAACACATGTCTACAAGCACACTGTATCTTCCTGGACGCCACAATGTCGGGCAGACGCATGCTCAACTAGGTTGACGGCAATTTATATTTTTAACGCTACTTTTATAATGGAATTATAATTAATTTAGACAGATACATGACTCGGTATATATAGAAGTCAGTACCAACAAAACTAAGGATGGTGACAAAGATAACCTGCTCACACTTAAACATGTATGAAGTTATATCAAATTGTCTGTCAGAATGGCATCAACAAGGGAACTTCGTTAAACAGGCTTAAACATGTCTAAGCAAACACATCCTTCATGTATGTGTTACTTCGGGATCACATTATTCTAACTAATCTTTGTTCTCAATGCCTTGTTGTCGTCTGTTGGTGTTAACACTTTAAATGGCCTGTGCACCCTTTGATGTTTATTAGCAATGAAATCTTTTCTGCATGTCGTCGCTATTTTGCATGCAGTTTTAATGCTGTCGTGATGCTTGGGTCTGACACAGTGATATCAACCCTATGTATCCATAATAATACGGTCATATACCTTGTACGATGAGGCTTGTGATAGGTACGCTATATCTATACATGTATGTTAGGAACACTGTCGCACTAAAGCAATATTTCAGTGATGTTTTCCTAGAAAATGTTGATGTACGACACGCATGAGTGGTGTTTGTAACCCGTCATGTGACCTTTGTATCAATGTGTGAAATGTGTGTTGATATGTGACTTTGTTTTGGTAACTTACCTGTATGACAGTATGTGACCTGTATTTTGGTATGTTACCTGTTTGACAGCATGTGACCTGTAATTTGGTATGTTACCTGTATGACAGAATGTGACCTGTATTCTGGTATGTTACCTGTATGACAGTATGTGACGTGTATTTTGGTTTGTTACCTGTATGGCAGAATGTGACCTGTATTTTGGTATGTTACCTGTATGGCAGCATATGACATGTATGCCAATATCTGACCTGTATGTCAGTATGTGACCTGTTTGTCAGTATGTGACCTGTATGTCGGTATATTACCTGTATGTCAGTATATGAGCTGTATGTCGGTATATGACCTGTATGTCGGTATACGAGTTGTATGTCGGTATATGACCTGTATGTCGGTATATGACCTGTATGTCGGTATATGACCTGTATGTCGGTATATGACCTGTATGTCGGTATGTGACCTGTATGTCAGTATGTGACCTGTATGTCAGTATGTGACCTGTATGACAGTATTTGACCTGTATTTTGGTATGTTACCTGTTTGACAGCATGTGACCTGTAATTTGGTATGTTACCTGTATGACAGAATATGACCTGTATTTTGGTATGTTACCTGTATGACAGCATGTGACCTGTAATTTGGTATGTTACCTGTATGGCAGTAGGTGACCTGTATTTTGGTTTGTTACCTGTATGGCAGAATGTGACCTGTATTTTGGTATGTTACCTGTATGGCAGCATATGACGTGTATGTCAATATGTGACCTGTATGTCAGTATGTGACCTGTATGTCGGTATATTACCTGTATGTCAGTATATGAGCTGTATGTCGGTATATGACCTGTATGTCGGTATATGAGTTGTATGTCGGTATATGACCTGTATGTCAGTATATGACTTGTATGTCAGTATGTGAGCTGTATGTCGGTATATGAGCTGTATGTCAGTATATGACCTGTATGTCAGTATGTGACCTGTATATCAGTATATGAGCTGTATGTCAGTATGTGACCTGTATGTCAGTATGTGAGCTGTATGTCGGTATATGAGCTGTATGTCGGTATATGACCTGTATGTCAGTATGTGACCTGCATATCAGTATATGAGCTGTATGTCAGTATGTGACCTGTATGTCAGTATGTGAGCTGTATGTCGGTATATGAGCTGTATGTCAGTATGTGACCTGTATATCAGTATATGAGCTGTATGTCGGTATATGAGCTGTATGTCAGTATGTGACCTGTATATAAGTATATGACCTGTATATCAGTATATGAGCTGTATGTCGGTATATGACCTGTATGTCAGTATGTGACCTGTATGTCGGTATATGACCTGTATGTCAGTATGTGACCTGTCTGTCGGTATATGACCTGTATGTCAGTATGTGACCTGTATGTCGGTATATGACCTGTATGTCAGTATGTGAGCTGTATGTCGGTATATGACCTGTAGGTCAGTATGTGACCTGTATGTCAGTATGTGACCTGTATGTCGGTATATGACCTGTATGTCAGTATGTGACCTGTATGTCAGTGTGTGACCTGTATGTCGGTATATGACCTGTATGTCGGTATATGACCTGTAGGTCAGTATGTGACCTGTATGTCAGTATGTGACCTGTATGTCGGTATATGAGCTGTATGTCAGTATATGACCTGTATGTCGGTATATGACCTGTAGGTCAGTATGTGACCTGTATGTCAGTATATGAGCTGTATGTCGGTATATGACCTGTATGTCGGTATATGAGTTGTATGTCGGTATATGACCTGTATGTCAGTATGTGACCTGTATGTCGGTATATGACCTGTATGTCAGTATGTGACCTGTATGTCAGTATGTGACCTGTATGTCGGTATATGACCTGTATGTCGGTATATGACCTGTAGGTCAGTATGTGACCTGTATGTCAGTATATGAGCTGTATGTCGGTATATGAGCTGTATGTCGGTATATGAGCTGTATGTCGGTCGGGATGTGTATGAGATCTGTGTGTCGGTATATGACGTGTATTTTGGAATATATCGTTACTGAACGTGGATGTTGATGGAAGATAATTAAAGGCTTATTTATCATCATTATTTACAACAAATACAACACTCTTAAAAAATCCAAAGTTTCAATAATTTGTTGAACACAGAACACAATCGTTTTCTCTCTCATATTTAGGCTTTGCTTTTCATTCATATTTTAATATAGAACAGTAATTTGTCAGGACAAGTTTCTCCCTAACCTACAGCGGACAAAGTGTCTAATACCCATTTACACGTCTGGTATAACTCTACCCAGGGTTTATAAAATACCATCACTGCTAATGGGCCTCACTTAGTCGATAAGTGTGATGTTAGAAGTAGAGTTGAAGCATGGCTGAGGGCAGTATACTTCATAAGGCAGACACAAACGAAACAGAATCAGCTAGATCTGTTTAAACAAGAAACGTTCCATTTTACTGCGTAACATTAAACAGCTAACCTGAGGTAAACTCGATTGGTTTGTGACATTTCCAAAATATTCGTCATCAAACAGAGTAATATTAACATACGGGTTCACCCTATAGTTAGTTTGTCTGGAGAAAAGTTTGACTTTATTACTTAACGGAAGTTCTTTTAAATCGCCTTTTAGTGATTACCGTGGTTGATTGAGGTTATTTGATTAATCTTAAAGTCACCCTAGAGGGCATGTTTTAATTGATTCTTTTCACACAGATTTTCTAAATAGTAGTAATATTTACTATTGAAAACACTGTTCTAACTTAACATGATCGGCGGAAATCCTTACCAGAGCGGTTCAGCAGTGGTTTTGAGGATAGTGTATAATATAGACTTGAGATTATTGTCGCTTGTTATTTTTCAGTGTAATACGTATTAATGGTAGTTGAACGAAGGCACACCTTAATGGTAGACTTACAACAGAACAACAACATATACATTTATTGTTTACTATCAATACACAGTTATTTATCTCTGATAAAGTTACGTCAGCTTTATACACTACAACCTTTGTTTAAGGTATGTAGTTTAAGGATAATTGATACTTTTTTGTTAGAATTAAATGCTAATTAAGATCGTAAGCATGTGTATGAATGTGTGTGAATAAATGGTTTGAAAACAAAAACCCGGGAAAAAGACTGTAGAACTATGAATGCGATGGTTAGACTTAACAGTCTTGTCTAAACCTGCTTCCTACAATGACAAAGTACTAACTGTCACGGTTCTAACCTCACTTGCGCCTGGTCAGCTTATCGTGAATAAATTTTGTGAAGTCTTATTGGCAATTTGCTATGATTTGTAGATTACAGCTTATGGCTGTTTGATAATCGACATACTTGTTTGAATTAGCCATATATATATATAGATACACAAGTTTACAACTGGTCATCGAGACCTAGTGAATGGTTTCATATCGTCTCCCACGTCCTCACCCAGATAGCTGTCCCCATTGTTATCATCTGTTGTTGTACACTTTACAAGTGTCAGGTAGTGGGTGGAGGTTATAACAATGTCTATTGTCTGTTGTTTTGGAACATTAACAAACACATACTAAAGGGATTTCAGTAAGATTATCTTAAATTGTAACAGCATCATATCCTTACTAAGTCGTGGATTCTAAATTTATTACATAATATTTTACAACAACAATATAATATTCACCTTTTTATACAAAATATATTTCTTATCACATACACAATAGCAGCGGTACGACAGACTTCCCTACACGGACAGTAATTTCAC